TCCGATCTCATGATGTACCCAACAGACGAGGTGCATACGTCGTTCATCACCGACCGCGCCAATTACTGTTACAGAGTAATGCCCTTCGGCCTCAAAAACGCAAGGGCCACCTACCAGCGGCTGATGGACAAGGTTTTCCACCAGCAGATCGAAAGAAACATGGAGGTCTACAAGAGCCTGGAGAGAATATATTAGGACCTGAGATAGTTCAACAGACTACTAAAAAGGTTAGGATGATCCAGGATAAAATGAGAGCATACCAAAGTAGGCAGAAGAGCTACCATGATAAAAGAAGGAAAGACATTGAGTTTAAAGAGGGAGACCATGTATTCCTTAAAGTAACTCCTTGGACTGGAGTTGGTAGAGCACTTAAATCTTGCAAGCTTACTCCACGATTCATTGGTCCCTACCAGGTCCTTAAGAGAATTGGTGATGTAGCTTACCAAATTGCATTACCTCCATACCTATCAAATCTTCATAATGTCTTTCATGTTTCCCAACTCAGAAAATACATTCATGACCCATCTCATATTGTTGAATCCGACAACATTCAGTTAAAGGATAACCTCACCTATGAAACTATACCTTTGAGGATTGAGGATAAGAGGGTAAAGCAACTAAGAGGTAAGGAAATTCCTTTAGTCAAGGTTGTTTGGGGAGGAAATGTTGAAGAAAGTGCTACGTGGGAATTAGAAAGTCAGATGCAAGAAACATATCCGTTTTTATTTGCTTCAGGAAATTTTGGGGACGAAATTTCTAAAAGGAGGGGAGAATTGTAACATCCTAAATTTTTTTACCAATGTAATAATTAATTGTTATTATTATTATATATGGAGATTAATTCTTATGATTATTTTAACAAATTAAATGGGTTTTATAAAATATTTTAGATGTTTTTAATGAATATTTTAATAAGAATTATTTACGAAAAAAAAAATTATTTTAGTAGCCCAGAACGAGTCGTTCCCAAATTGGAACGGGCCGTTCCAAACTACTAGAATAGCATATAAATCTTGCATCGAAACGGGCCGTTCCAAGACATGTTTTTATGAGAAAATTTTGAAACCAGAATGGGTCGTTCCGAATTAAGAACAGGTCGTTCCGGTACATGATTTTATAAGCAAAGTTCGAACCCAGAATAGGCCGTTCCGGTTGAAGAACGGGCCGTTCCAGTTGGAGAACGGGCCGTTCTGATTGAACAACGGGCCGTT